ACATATTTTCCGACACCCCGCAAGCCATACCATCTACTCTACTCAGCGCAGGATTCACTCAGCCCTGCTCCTTTCCCTGGGGCTGGTTTCAGATGCCATCATCACGGAAGGCGGGGAGAATTTCAGCCAGGGCCAGAGGCAGCTGTTCTGCCTGGCAAGGGCCTTCGTGAGAAAGACCAGCATCTTCATCATGGACGAGGCCACGGCTTCCATCGACATGGCTACGGTTGGTCCTAGGCACATCCACGGGACGGGGGTCTTGGGGTGTTAGGCAGAAGTTTGCACCAAGTAATCCTGAAGTCCGAGTTGCCTTTAGCATCAAGGGCCATTCGTAGCAGAAAGGGCGAAAGGCTAGGAAACCCTGACTCAGCTAGTCTTAGGGCATGTTCATAACCCACATGCACACAAACTACACACAGACCCACAGAGACTTCACACCCATCACTTGCCACCCAGCACACCCCAGACACACTCACAGCATACATAACAGGCACAGAGCTGAGCTCCCAACAGGCTGAATCCAGCCCCTTAGTGCTGGGAACCAAGTCAGTCCTAAGGGGACTAGGGCCAGACAGAGGCAGGGGGGTGGAGCTAGGATTGGGGTCAGATGGCAGCTGGGCCACAAGCCTGGGCCTCACATCCCCAAAGCCAGGCCAGACCCCTCTGCTGGGCAGGTGAGCAACAGCTGCTGTTCCTACCTGGCAGGAGAACATCCTCCAGAAGGTGGTGATGACAGCCTTCGCAGACCGTACCGTGGTCACCATCGCGGTAAGGGGCCCGTTGGTGGGGTGCGAGGGAAGGGCTGGCCTCCTGAGGCTGTCATCAGTGGGCAGCCCCTGGGATCATGTGGGCCTGGTAATCAAAGAGGATCTTGGAGCTTGGCGGGGCAAGGAGTCTGGAGGGCTTGCAGGGAGCCTGAATTGCAGGATTTGGGGTAGGGGAGATTTGCACCTGCATGTCCCTCAGACCTCCCCTCTCATTCTCCAGGTTCCAAGGCCCACCCCTGTCCCAAGGCCCTGTGAGCTAGACTAGGGTTACTTCTCCATAGAAAATAGGGAGTGGGGGGATCTCTGAGACTTGAAGCCTGGAGGTTGGGGCAAAGCTGAGACTTAGTGAGGGAGAGGGTGTCATTAATGGATGGAGGGCTTGGACTCACAGCCACCCCAGGAAAGGGCAGTCACCAGAGAGGTTGGACATTCTGGCCACATGCCCCCTCATTCAAGCTGCAGGAGGGATGCCCTCAGCTGCCCCGCCCCTCCCCTCCCGACCCTGACCAGCCCCCTCCTGCCTGGCCCAGCACCGTGTGCACACCATCCTGAGTGCCGACCTGGTGATTGTCCTGAAACGCGGTGCCATCCTGGAGTTCGACAAGCCAGAGAAGTTGCTCAGCCGGAAGGACAGTGTCTTCGCCTCCTTTGTCCACGCAGACAAATGACCTGCCAGAGCCCAAGTGCCATCCGTGCCCCACCCTGCCCCCACCTCCCGCCTGGGTTTTCAAACTGTAAATCACTTGTAAATAAAGAGATTGGTTATTTCCTACCAGACGCCTTGGTTCTGGTGGGCAAGGGCTGGGGTGGACTGTGGTGTCCAGCAGAGCCAGCATGACCTTGGCATCAGGCAGACCTGTAGAAGCTGTGAGCGTGGGCAAAGCGGGTTTCCTTATCTGAGAAATGAAGGTTGTATTAGTCTCCTAGGGCTGCCATAGCAAAGTACCAGAGACTGCGTGGCTTAAACAACAGATATGTATTTCTGACAGCTCTGAAGAATGGAAGTCCAAGATCAAGGTCGCAAATTTGGTTTCTCCTGAGGCCTCTCTCCTTGGACCTTCTAGCTGTGTCCTCCCTCACATGGCCTTTCCTCTGTGTGTGTACATCTCCAGTGTCTCTTTTCTCATTAGGAGACCAGTCATATTGGCTTAGGGCCCCACCCTTATTACCTCACTTAACCTAATGACCTCTTCATAGGACCTATCTCCAAATACAGTTACATTGGGGGCTTCGACATATGAATGTAGGGTTTCAACATATAATTTTGGGGGCAACACAATTCAGTCCATAACAAGACTTATAGCATTTTTGTGATTATCTCATCAGATAAAGTAGCAGATCTCCATAGTGTGTGGTCCCCTTCCTTCTTTAATTTTTGGATTAAAATTTTTGGGCCTCAAGTATCCTGGATTAGTACCATTTCCCTTGCAAATGACAGGAACATAACTCCAAGTGGCTTAAACAAAAATGGGAATCTATTGTCACATGTGACTGAGAAGGGCAGGAGGTGTACCTCTTCAAGCACGGCTGGATCCGGGTGTTTGGCATCAGAGATGTGTCTATTTCTGGGTTCCATCTTCCTCTCCCTCCCCGATAACAGAGGGCCACTAGCGGCTCCAGCTGATCTCCTACCCCTCTGAAAAAATATGTTTTTTCCCAATAGTTCCCACAAAAATCTTGGTAGCAAATCTCCACGGACCAATTTGGGTCATATCCCCACTCCCACCCAATCACTGTGGTCAGAGGGCTGGAATACACTGACTGGCTAGGACTGAATCACATGTCCCTGTCTCCGTCCCCCATGTAGGAGCATTCAGACGTGGGGGAAGGGTGACCCCTCAGGGAAAGCACAGTGCATATATCGTAAGTTAGCTGGGTGGTGGCTGGGAGATGCTGGGGTCCAGACACTGGGGAGACAAAAACAACAACTGTCCATCTGCATCATAAAACAGGAGTACACACCTGCCCTTGAAGGCAGGTGCTCATTTACATATCATTTTATTATCATTACATGTTGCCTTCTGTACGGGCTATATCAGACCCTTGGGCCTGCGTCCTTCTTGTTTGCAAGGGGGTCAGAGTCATGCAACATAAGGAAAACCCACCAATCATTGGAGAGGGACCCAATACCAAACAAACCCTTCTAGATGTTCTAGGAGCCAGAGGAGCTCAGGAAGGGAGAATCCTGTAAGGCTGCCTGGAAGAGGCAGGATTTGATTTGGGCATGGAAGGGGTAGGAATTAGAAAGGCAGAGAGTTGGAGACAAGGGCCCATGGAGTGTGTGAGTATGTGTGTGTGTGTGTGTGTGTGTGTGTGTGTGTGTGTGTGTGTGTGTGTGGTGGGGGTGGAGGGCACAAGATCAGAGAGCCTTGAATGCCAGGACAAGTAGTCTGGGATAAACCTCTGAACAAAAGGAAAGTGAAGAAATTTTTTGAGATCGGGTCCTTAAAAGTGTGGTGTTTGGAAGAGATGAGTATGAGGAGGTGCAGGATGGAGTGGCATGGAGCAGACTTTTGAATAGGGTGTTCACCCTCCTGGAAAGGGTAGAGCAGAGAATAGCTGAGGCCTCAGGGCAACACTGTGAGGCAGGGCGTGGCCTTTCCAGCTCTGAGATGCCTCTGGGGGCCCAGCAGCTCCCTCCACTGCCGGGCCTCCTAAGAGCAGAGTCTGGGAAGGGGAAGAGGTTTCCCATCCCTCCCATGCCCACCACCCCTCAAGGAATTGAATGGAAGTAGCAGGGGCAGGGCAGGGCCCACACTGAAGTTTTGAATGGATGCCCAAGGCCAATGTAATCCAAACCCTGATAATCTGCCAACCTTGACTTGGATACCCTACTGACATAGGTCATCTCTGGTTATTAGAACTGACCCTTCTATATGAGAAATCAAAGCCTGCCTCTGTTCCACTGTGTGTCTATACTGAGTCTACACTTGGGGCCACACCAAATTATTAGTCCATCCTCCTTGGACCCCCCCAGGGTTTCTGCAATAGTGCCCAAACTCCCGGGGGACTCTTCAAGGCCCCTTTTCTGATGGCTAAACAGCTGCAGTTGCCCCAGAGGTTTCCTGTGTAACCCTGTCTCCTTGAGCTCCCCACTCTGCTCATCCTATTTTCCCCTCCCCACCGTAGGCACTGCACCTCTAGTAATATAGCCCAAGATCACACTTACTTGAGTAGTAGTGTTCACTATGCCTACAGTTGGGTATGGGAGAGAAAGGAAAACTCAATATGAAAGTCACACCGTGTCCGACTGTGGCCCACATGCCCACTGTCCCTATCTTTCCAGCCCCTGCTTCAAGCCCCCACACCAACAAATGGACACACATAGGTCAGGGGTTTCTCCATAAGGACCTGAGATCCCAGAGAGGGAGTGGGGCCATTACTGTCACAACAGAGACCTAGCAAGCTTTCCCTTCAGCTGATAACTGGAGGCTCTCCATCTGGGGCCCACACTACGGGGCAACCCTAGGCTTATGTCTACAGTAAAAACACCAGTCCTGTCCAGGCCAAAAGTTTGGGCCCCCTAGTGCCCAAGGCAGCAGCCCTAATACAGCCCCTCAGACCCAGGGGCCTCCCATTACCTGAGGTAGAAGAAATCAGGCTGTGGGTGTAAAGCAAGTGTCAGTAGCTCGAACCCTCTTTGAAATGCAGGGGTGGGGTTGTGAGGACAGTCACGATTGAGAAAATGTAACCACCCAGGCTTCTGGGCTGCTGCATCCAGCATCCCCTGTAATAGCTGCTAAACTGTGTTCCTACATCTTCTAAGGTATATTTTCTTCTGGGGAGGGAGATCGTGGCTTTCATCAGATTCTCAAAAGAGCCATGACTCAGAACAGATTAAGAGCACCCGCAAAGAGAAGAGGCAGTCAGTTGAGAAGTCCTCGGGCCTCCTAATCTCCTCCAGTCACCCAATTCAATTGGTTACGCAGCCCCTCGGTGCCTCCTTTCTCTGGGAACCAGCAAAGCCCAGTGCTGCGCCAGGAGGCGGATATTGACCCAAATGAGAATAGAAAAATTGAGGAGGGGAGCCAGGGCGACAGGGGTTGCTGTCCCCAGACTGAGAGGGCAGGTCACGACTCCCTTCACCCGCCTCCTGCTCTAATTTCATAGGCCGTGAGCAGGAGGGACCTCTTTTGGTACATCAGGCTGGGCAAACCCCCAAGGCCAGTGGGTGGTGAACGGCGATGGGAGGGAGGGGGTGGGGCTTGAGCTTGTGCCCGCCTCCCTCTAGCTCACAAATAGGTCGGACTCCCCCTTGCGGCTCCCCGGCCCCCACTGCTCTCTTCAGGCGCCCCTCGCCTTCAATCTTCTGCACCCACCTCGCACAGGTCTGTCTCCGCGAACCGACAGACGGATGGGAGAACTGCCCGCCGCGAGAGACCGGGCGGCAGGAGGGGGCGGGGAGGCGACGGCTGCAGCTTGAGAAGCAGGAGCAGGTGCTGCGGCGACGAGCAGGCTGGGCAGGGACAGAGCGCGGGGCGGGGGCGCGGCGCCGGCGTGCGTGCGGCCGGCGGGGAGCGGGGAGGACCCAACTCGGTAGTGAGCCCAGCCAGGTCGCACGGGGGGCGAGGGGATCTGGTGTTGATCCGGGTCGGGTGGGTTGGTGACTCTGGAGGGCGCAGGATCCCAAGGAGACAGAGAGGACGAAAGCTGGAGGGGGATCAGAAGAGCGGTGAGAGCGCTACGGGGTGTGGGGTAGGAAGGAGGGGGCATACCAGGTGAGACTGGGGGAAGGTCAGGATATGAAGCTGGAGCTTGGAAGGGAGCCAAGGACAGGATGGGTGAGGCGGGAGACGCGGGGGTTGTGTGAGATCTGGTCAGTTGGTAATAATCGGAGGTGTTAAGTTCCAAGGTGGGAGAGGGGTTGAGAAGGAAGGCTGCGTGGGGAGAAGGGGACTTAGGGCGTCGCCCAGGTGTGGTGAGCGGGTGGAGGAGTGTTGAGCTGAGATCCTGGGCCAGGTGGGGAATAATAGGCAGGGTGGGGGGCTCACTAAGCAGGTGGGCTGAGGTGTGAGGCTGGTATAAAGAAGTGAAGCAGGGGCCAGGTGGAGGTGAGGATGAGTCTGGCTGTGGAGGCATCTCAGAAGTGAGGCCAGCACAGACTGAGGGTGGTCCCAGAGTGGACGGGTACACAGGGAGGGAACCCTACAGTGAGGCCCTAGGCTGGTCAGGGGAGCACCCCCCATGGGGGAAGCCTCTCCCTGGTGGTCGCTGGAGCCATGCTGTCCCGCAAGGGCATCATCCCTGAGGAGTATGTGCTGACGCGACTAGCAGAGGACCCTGCGGAGCCCCGGTACCGTGCCCGTGAGCGGAGGGCCCGCTTCGTATCCAAGAAGGGCAACTGCAATGTGGCCCACAAGAACATCCGGGAGCAGGGCCGCTTCCTGCAGGACGTGTTCACCACGCTGGTGGACCTCAAGTGGCCGCACACGCTGCTCATCTTCACCATGTCCTTCCTGTGCAGCTGGCTGCTCTTCGCCATGGTCTGGTGGCTCATCGCCTTCGCCCACGGCGACCTGGCTCCTGGCGACCTGGCCCCTGGCGAGGGCACCACTGTGCCCTGCGTCACCAGCATCCACTCTTTTTCATCTGCCTTCCTTTTCTCCATTGAGGTCCAAGTGACCATTGGTTTCGGCGGACGCATGGTGACGGAGGAGTGCCCGCTGGCCATCCTGATCCTCATTGTGCAGAACATCGTGGGGCTCATGATCAATGCCATCATGCTGGGCTGCATCTTCATGAAGACGGCCCAGGCCCACCGGCGGGCCGAGACCCTCATCTTCAGCAAGCATGCGGTCATCGCCTTGCGCCATGGCCGCCTCTGCTTCATGCTGCGCGTTGGCGACCTCCGCAAGAGCATGATCATCAGCGCCACCATCCACATGCAGGTGGTGCGCAAGACCACCAGCCCCGAGGGCGAGGTGGTGCCCCTCCACCAGATGGACATCCCCATGGAGAACGGCGTGGGTGGCAACAGCATCTTCCTGGTGGCTCCTCTCATCATCTACCACGTCATTGATGCCAACAGCCCGCTCTACGACCTGGCGCCGGGTGACCTGCACCACCATCAGGACCTGGAGATCATCGTCATCCTGGAAGGTGTGGTGGAAACCACGGGCATCACCACCCAAGCCCGCACCTCCTACCTGGCCGACGAGATCCTGTGGGGCCAGCGCTTTGTACCCATTGTGGCTGAGGAGGACGGCCGCTACTCCGTGGACTACTCCAAGTTTGGCAACACCATCAAAGTGCCCACGCCACTCTGCACGGCCCACCAACTTGATGAGGACCGCAGCCTGCTGGACGCCCTGACTCTCGCTTCAGCCCGTGGGCCACTGCGCAAGCGTAGCGTGGCCGTGGCCAAGGCCAAGCCCAGGTTTAGCATAGCTCCGGATTCGCTGTCCTGAACCATGGTCCCTTGAGCCCTCACACCCTGTGTGTGCACATGGACAGTGTGGTATGGTATGCAGTGGACATAGTGTGGGCTTCTTGGCCAGGCCAGGACCTGGTGTGAGGCTGGGCCCTGCTGGGCTCAGCCTCCCCCCCTGCTGCTCGCCCAGGGTGTTACAAGGCACTTGTCACTAGGCTATTTCTGGCCTCAGCAGGAGCCTGTACTAGGTTATTTTTGTCCCCACTCCTCCCAGCCCCAGCTCAGGACTGGTTGGTCCCCCTCCCCCCGACCCAAGGCTGGGGAAGCTGTGGGAAGCGTCGGGCCCTCAAGCTGGGTCTCCAGCTAGTCCTGGGTCCCTGTGATGAACTGGCCACAGGCTCGGCAGATGGCCGGGGAACAACAGTCCCCAGGTTGGAGGCCTGCTGCTGTGTTTCTGTGGCCCCAAGAGATGCCTGTGGTCAGGCCCTAGCCGCCGTTGGTCCCTGAAAATGTGATGAGCTACAGGGTAGGCCCAGCCACCTGGGAAGGGCAGTCAAGGAGGGAGGATATTCCAGCCAGGAGACTGGAGATGTGGAGCCTACAAAGACGGACAGGCTGAGGCTGACAGGGCTTTCCTCCACGGGGCAGGCTCAAGCAGGAAGGAAATTGCGTTGAGGATGCTCAGCTTTGCCGAGTCCTGCGCAGGCACAGGGAAGAGGAAATGGGCTCTGTGCCCCTGACCTTTGCCCCAACACCAAGGCTTCTACGGTGAGGGCTCCATGGGCTGTGGCTGCTGCTCCCGCCTGCTCCCATTCTGTCCCCACCCTCAGAGGCTGGGGTGGGCTGTGGCAGACATTGGCATGCCGAGCAGAAAGAGGCTGAGGAGATGGGAGTCCTCGGCCCACCACACTCAGTGGGCCTCAGACCAAACTCTGGTCCTGGCTCCCACCACTGGCTGCCCCTCACTTTGTCCAGAGGATGACCTTGGAGAGAGGGTCTTTGGGTTTCTCAAAAAGGAGATGTTGGAAAGTTCAGGATGGTGGGGGTGAGCGAGGTCCTTGAGGCAAAGAGGCCTTTTGCCCTGATGGCCTTCACCCCAAGCCTGGACTCTCAGAACAGTGCTGCGTGTGCTTGCCCAGAATTCTGCCTTTTCCCTTGTCAATAAATCCTCCCTCTTTCATGACCCAAACTCTGGGCTGTTCTTGCTGGGGAGGCAGGGGACATACTCATGGACAGGAAGGGCAGGGGTTGGAGCTGCCAGCCCATATTCCAGGGGTGCAATGGGCCATAGCCCTGAGGTCGGCCCTCTTCTCCAGTTCAGGGGGACCTTTCCCCCCCTGCCTCAGGTAGCCCAGCTCTGCCATCCTGCCTTTCAACCTTTGGGCACCTACCAGGCTTATAGCCCTGCCTACACTTTCAGGAATCTGCTGGAAGGCTGGGGTGCTCAAGGAGAGAGGCGGGGATGTCATATGCGTTAGTGTAGTGATTGTAGGGTAAGCTCTCAAGCCAACTGCCTGGATTCAAATCCTGGGCCTCCCTGAAGTCCCAGATTTGAGACTGATGACAAGCTCAGCTGTGGTAATGTCTATGGCTTTCACATCTAGCTCGAAGAACTTGGTCAAGAAACAACCTCTCTGTGCCTCAGTTGTCTCATCTATAAAGTGGGTATACTAATAGTATCTACTTCATAGAATTTGAAATAGGAGTGGGAGTAAATGAAAAACATGTAAAATGCTTAAGTGTCTGGTCCATAATAAGTCCTCAATAAATGTTAACTACTGCGATTGCTGTTGAATCAGCCACACGATGAGACAACTGACCAAGCGAATGTTAAGAGAGAAGGTGCTATTCTATTTCCCCTCGGTGATGAGTTTCTCTGTCTAGTATTATTTTCTTCACAGTGCTGCTCCCTGCTGATCACAGGGGCTGTGGCAGTGCCTATTACCTGGTCTCCTTGTCTCCATCTCACCCCCTTAGTCCACCCGCCATGCAGCCACCAGTGGTCTTATTAAAAGGGTTGTGATCATCCCCTCCCATGTCAACTACCTTCAGTAGTTCCCCATCACCTCCTGGGTCAAGGCTAGACCCCACAGCCAGCCATGTCAGGCTTTGCCCACTTTCTAGCCTTACAGCTCACAGTTCTCTTGCCAGGACCCTGTGCACCCTCCCACTCCCCTGGCTGCTTTTCTACCCTCTCCTTGCATATAACATTGACCTTCCTGCCTCTGAGCCTTGCTTATGTTACGCCCTGTGCCTGGACTGCCCAGGCCCCAGCTCTGCCTGTTGAAATCCATAAAAGTCCAAATGATGCCTCCTTGAAGCCTTCCCTGGTTCCTCTGGAAAGAGATGGTCCCGTACCTTCCTCTGTGTTTGTGGGCATTCTACTTTTGCCTGTTTATAGGTCTGTGTCCCCATTCCCAAGTCCATGGCTTCTTGAGGTCAGGGACTGTGTCTAATTTAGCAGTGTTCCTGGCACTGAGTAAGTGCTGAATGAGTGAATGAATGAATGGATGAATGAATAGATGATGGGTGGATAGATGGATGGATGGTGTACAGGACCGCAAGCCAGGTGTATTGCTGCGTTTGAGGCCTGCAGAGGGCTTTTGCTGAATTTGTGAGAGTTTGTCCCAGGCTACTCCAGAGACAGGGCTAAGGGGCCAGAAAGCTGCTGCTGCTATTCCCTGCACCACACAGTCCCCCAGCATTGATTCCCTTCCTTGCTGAGCTGACCCATTTCTGGTTTAGAGGAAGAAGGGATGAGAAGCTACTCAGAGCCAGCCCAGACTTTCTGGGGGCAGCGCCTGGCTCTAGGGACTTAGCTTGGCTGTCCTTAAGATCCAGGGAGGGACCAGATTCACTGAGAAGCCCCTTGGCCACACCATCCTTGGGACCCCATCCAGAGTAACCTTCCTCCCAGCCTCACAGACTTTAAGCAGCTGGTGACAGTGAACTGGCAGAAGTGAGGGCTTAGCGCCACCTGCTGGCCGCAATGACAATCAGAGCCATTGGTGCTAAGCTTTCCTCTCTTAAAGAGAAACATGCTCCCACCCCACTTGCCTCAGCTTTAATGCTTAGCTCAGGGAGGAGCTGGAAAGTTCCAGGCATGGAGGGGTAGCTGCACCAAGTCTTCCTTGACCCCTCTGAATGTTCTTGCCCACTGATAGTGCTTCCTCCATCTTAAGGACTAAACTGGCCAAGGAAGCTCCCCTGAGCTCCCCTCAGTCCAGCAGGAACTTCTGTGAGAATTTAGTTTCTGATATTCTGCCCCCAAGACAGCATTGGACATCACATAAGAGCAGACAGAGCAGTCCATAGTAGTCCACACCCTATGTGCAGAACTGGCTCTCCTCCAGGCTCCCTGGAAAGGGGAGGAACGTACCTCGCATCACCCTGGTCCGGGGCTCAGGGAGGCACTGTTTTGTGGTCCAGTGTTGAAGGAGGTGCTGTTCTCTGAGTTTCCAGGTGAGGAAACACGATCAGAAGTGACATTAACTTGCTGAGATCTCACAGCTAGTAAACAGCAGGCCAAAGATTTGGACCTGAGCCTGTCTCAGACTGCTGCACAGTCCCAGGGACCTGAGCTTTTACTAGGGATGCCACCTTTTGTGTCAGATCCACCACAGGGAGACAGTTGTCTCTAGATCAGCGGTTCTCAACCTGTGGGTCACGACCCCTTTGGGGGCCCAACGACCCTTTCACAGGGGTCGCCTAAGACCATCGGAAAACAAAAAGATATTTACATTACAATTCATAACAGTAGCAAAATTACAGTTATAGAGTAGCAACGAAAATAATTTTATGGTTGGGGGTCACCACAACATGAGGAACTGTATTAAGGGGTCGCGGCATTAGGACCGCTGCTCTAGATGGAGAACAAGAGGGAAAGTGTAACCCGGAAAGTCCCTGGGCATCCCTGAGGCTCTCAATATGAGACTGACGACAGCCTCAGCTGTGGTAATGCCTATAAATTTGGCATCTCCAGCTGGTCACCGCAGACGCATATGTGGCCCTTCTGCTGGACCCAAATTCTACAGGACCCACTCTCCACAGGCGGATCCTCCCAGCTCCGTCCTGAACTTGAGCTCCTCCTTGACAGCTTTTCTTAGGAACTTTCCCATGGAGGTTGCTCCAAGGAGTAGAGTAACCCTGGCTCCCTACGTGTCTCTGGGCTCTGCTCTGATGTCTCCCCGGGTCCAGGTATCAGACACCCTATCTTGTACCAAGACATGTAGGTGACTCTGGGGAAGACAATATGAATTTCTGCCAAAGTCCTGTTGATCCCAGACTGGGGCAGGTGTGAACAACAACAGATCTGTTCTATTGATAGCTTGAAAGAAGCTGTGGAAAGGCAGGACAGTGGGGTTCAAGTCAGAACTGGGTTTCAGGAAAGGGGTCTATTGCACCAGGATCTAAATTATTAGCATCTTCTCTGCCAGGTCCACCTGCCTAGAGCAATTTGTCTTCATGGAAATGGAAGCAGGTGCTACCTACAGCCTACTCTGTTTCTACTCTGAAATGACACAAAAGGCAGGTCACTTAGGCTGGCCAAGTTGGGTACAGGAGTGCAAACTTCTGCCTTTCCCTTGACCTCAGGGGCTTCCAGGCACTGATGCCCAAGAGTGGAAAAGCAACGCAAAGTGCATATGCAACTATACAATTTATTTCCTTCAGTGGGAGAAGCAAGGGCATACAGGGTACAGGTCAGCTCAACGGTCCCCAGAAGCTTTCTTCAGCTCGTTAGTCATACACCTCCCCTTCATGAATGGGTATAATTCTTTGCAGCACAAATTCATCCCAAACTCTTTCTCCACAGACCATCAGCACCCGAAGTGAAGCAAACCCGACTGGGGTAGTCCTGTCTGTGTGTCCTCTTTACTTCATTTGATCAATTCCAGTTTTTCTCATAAAGCTATTATTATTGGGGAAGGGAAGTCATTCCAGGGTAACCCAGAGAAGTAAATGCAATCCAGTTCTGACACTTTTTTATTCTTTTGTTAAATTCCTACTGTGGCCTTGGTTTACCTATCCAACATGGAAGTGGAAGAATGAAAATCACCCCATAATTATGCCTCTTTTGTGTCTCTCTTCACCTCTCTCAAGGTCTGACAGGCATACATACTTATTTTTGAGTTTAGTAACTCCTTGATGCCTTTTGTTTTAGCTACATTATAGATTCTCTTCCAATCAATAATCTCCATTTAACAATCCCCCACATTTTACATCTAATGTTTTCATCATCCTATAAAAAGGTCCCATTTGTGGTTTTCCCATCTAACTATATTTCATTTTTTTCCTTGCATTTTACCATTCTATCATAATCTCTCCAAAATTATTTTTCACTAAATTTATAAAATTTCAACTGCCTTACTACTTTTTTCCAAAGGGTGTCATTCTTTCAACCACTGTAAACAGCTGTGAACTACTTCATTTGTTCTATAGTCCCAACTTTTACCATAGTCCTCCTTCAGTTCTCGCACTTTGAAATTTACTGGTTCCTTCAATTCTCTTAATAGGCACCAACCAGAGGCTGCAATCCCCATGTGCTGCCACAATCAACTTCAGGTGGGAACTCAACTATGGGAATCTAGTCTGTTCTATTCATTCATGTCAAGTTATGCTCGTGTGCTCTCGTGCCCCTCCTGAGTGATCTAACAACTGTTTCTCAGAGTCATTATTCCAACTGCCAGTAGAGATGGGAACAGGGCTTCTCTGCCCCACAAAGGCCCTGAAATACAAGCGCATATCCCTGATAACTGCACTCAGAACCACACTGTATCATACCCTCGACCAACACCTGCATGACACCCTGCACAGCCCTGTCAACGTCTATCCTGGATGCAGTGCCCATACTTATACCCAATTAGGAATAGCATCAGACACCTTGATTCAGTTACAGAAAATAAGGCAAAGGCCAAACACACCAACCTATAGTCCTCCCCGAAGAGCAGACTAGAGCTGTACAGAGTGAACCTGTCGTCTAGGCCTACTGGTCAAGCTGATTCTTCCCAGCCCAGCCCCACCCTAGATCTTCCTTGGTTATTATTAATAGTGATTAAAAATCCAAGCTCCACCCTCTATTAGCCATGACACCGGGGGCAAGTCACGTATCTTCTATAAAGAATAACTCAGAGATATCAAAGTGCAGCTGTATGCTTTTATTCACATACTAGATTGTACAGATTGCTCTCACGAAACACAGAATATGAAATGGAAGTGGGTCACAGTCTGGCAACAGAAAGGGTTGCTTTTTCCCTCTCTTTTGAATTTAGGTATAATTGACATTATATTAATCTGAGGTGTACAACATAAGACTTAATATTTGTATATATTGCAAAATGATCATTACAATAAATCCAGGTAAAAAATCCATAAAAACCAGTCACAATTTTTTTTGTGATAACTTTCAAGATTTGTTCTTAGCAACTTTCAAATATGCAATATAGTATTAACTCACCAGGCTGTACATTACATCCCCATGACTTCTTACTTTTAAAACTCAAAGTCTGTACCTTTTGACCCCCTTACCACTTCGACCCCTTCTTATCCCCCACCTTGAGCAGCCATCAATTTGTTCTCTGTATTTATGAGGTTGTTTTTTAGATTCCACATATAAGTGAGGTATGTATCTGTCCTTCTCTGACTTATTTCACTTAAAATACTGCCCTCAAGGACTATTATGTTGTCATGTGTTGGCAAGACTTCCTTCCTTTTATGAGAGAGTCATATTCCATTGTGTATACAGTCATGCACCACATAACGATGTTTTGGTCAACGATAGACTGATTGCATAAACAACATTGGTCCCATGAGCTCATAAGAGAGCTGAAAAATCCCTACCACCTAGTGACATCACAGCCATCATAACACTGTAGCAAACGCATTACTCACGTGTTTGTGGTGATGCTGGTGTAAACAAATGAATGGTTGCTTCCAGTCATATAAAAGTATAGCACATACAGCTACATATAGAACATACCATAATACTTAATAATGATAACAAACAACCATGTTACTGGCTTATATATTAACATTTACTATGCTACATTTTTATCATTATTTTAGAGCATACTCTTTCTACTTAGAAGTTTGAGATAAAACAGTATGTGGTGTTATCCTGGCAGCAGCCTCACCTCAGGTTTATTGCATCTCATGACTATCATTTTCACTTGTGCTTAATTTCACATTGTTTTATAAACTTAACGTTGCCTAAGGGTACAGCGAAGTCTACATGAGTACACAGAAATGTTCTAGGCCTTCACACTCATTCCTCACTCACTCACTCACTCACTCACCCAGTGCAACTTCCAGGCTTCAAGCTCCATTCAAGGTAAGTGCCCTAGACAGGCATTTTTTTATACCCCATTTTTACTGTACTTCTTTTATGTTTAGATACATAGTTACCATATGTTATAACTGCATACAGTACTCAGTACAGTAATATACTGTACAGGTTTATAGCCCAGGAGCAATAGGCTGTACCCTATAGCTAGGTGTGTAGTAGGCTGTATCATCTAGGTTTATGTAAAAGCACTCTATGATGGTCACACAATGACAAAACCACCTAGTCCTAAAAATGTATCCCCGTTGTTAGTGACACGTAAATATATATCATATTTTCTTTATCCATTCTTCCATCGATGGACACTCACGTTGTCTCCATGTCTTGGTTATTGTAAATAATGCTGCAATGAACATGGGGGTACAGATATCTTTTCAATTTGGAACTGCTGGATGATACAGTTGCTCTAATCTCTTGAGGAACCTCCACACTGTTTTCCATAGTGGCTGCACCAATTTACATTCCCGCCAACAGTGCACGAGGGTTCCCTTTTCTCCACATCCTTACCAATACTTCTTATTGCTTGTCTTTTTTATAATAGCCATTCGAACAGGAGTGAAGTGGTATTTCATTGTGGTTTTGATACGCATTTCCCTGATGATTAATGATGGTGAGCACCTTGTCATGTACCTGTTGGCCATGTGTATGTCTTCTCTGGGAAAATGCTTTTTCTTTTCCTTAGATAAACTTGAAAGGGTGCAGGCTATCAAGGAGAGCAGCTCGAACAGTCTGCTCTTGAGCAAGCTGTCTGGGTCATCAGGAAAAGTAATTTCAGTCACTTACATTCTCTGAGAAACCTTGTGGTTTCTGCTGTTTCTCTCTGTGTAAGAACTGGCAATGTCCCAGTGTTTTCTGCATCGGAATAAGTATTGTGTTAGTCTTCTGGGAAGCACTTTTCAAGATGGTGTTAGAAGTGCAAGAGAGTTAGCGAGGATAATGCCTGTGAAAGATAAAGGGGAGAAAGTGCAGAAGTAGGTGGGGAAAGCCTTCATGATGTAGGTCTGATATCTGTAAAGGAAGCAGTGAGAATTGGGTAGCAAGAGGCTCAGAGTACAGTGCAGCTCCGAGCAAGTCTCAGGCACCCCCGCAGAGAGCTCCAAAGGTTCCTGCTTTGTTCAGCCACTGACTGGAGCTGCCAAGGAGAACATGGCATAAGCTTGAAAAGTGCAGCAGGTCCCTGAGATGGCATGTTGGCTGAGTACACTCTTCATGGCAGGCTCTCTCTTGAAGCGGGGGGGGGAGTGTCTCAGTAGCACGTCTCCACGGCAACCAACCACAGTTTTTTGGTCAAAACTGAGCTTCCTGAGTTGTTGTATCAGTTAGCTTTTGCTGTGTAACAAGCCAGCCTAAAACACTGTGGCTTTAAAATAAATTAGTATTTATTGCTCAGACATTTGCGAGTTGGCTCTGTTGGCATTAATGACCTCGAGTAAATTTGTTCACATATCTGAGAGTTGGGTGATTGTCATCTACAGCAGGTCCTCAAAATAATGTGGTTTCATTCAATGTCATCTCATTATAATGTTGACGAAATGCCATAGGAACTTAACTCTTGTTTATATCAATTAGCCTCTGGTAAAATTGGTTTAATTATACGTCGGGTTCGCTTCAAGTTGCAGAACGTATCAATGACATCAAGTGAGGACTTACTGTAGACGGGCCTCCACTACAGCAACTAGCTTTAGCTTCCAGTGTCTTTTATCCTCCAACGGGCTAGCGTGGACATGGTCTCCTCTCACTAATGTCAGAAGCACAAAAGAAAGCAACTGGAAATCCACAAGGCCTCGCGAGGCCTATGCTTAGAACTGGCGCACTTTCGCTTCTGTCTCACTCTATTGGCCAGAGCCAGTCACAAGGTTGAGCCCAATGTTAAGGGGCAGCCCATGATTGGAGGACAATGCAGTTACACGGCAGAAGACACAGATATAGGGAAGGATGAAGGATTGGAGCTGTCTTTGCAAAAAACTACCACAGGGGGCCAGCCGAGTGGCGCAATGGTTAAGAACAGGCTTGGGATGCCAGAGGGCCCCGGTTCGGATCCCACATATGAGGGCCAGTGACACTGCCCTCCACAGCTAAGATGCTGAACAACAGCTCAACCTGGAGCTGGGCTGCTGTGAGTCGCCAGCGACGGCGTAGCCTGCAGCCCCTGTGGCAGTGGGTTGCCGTGGGCTACCGTATGTAGCCAGCAGCCAGCGTGAGCGGCCAGCAGCCGCAGTGAGCGGCCGTCCAGAAGCCGGCGACTGATCTGCCTCACCTGGGAAGAGCGCACTGATGGTGCCAACTTGGGCCAGTGAAGCAACGTCCTCCACAACTAGACTGAAGAACAAAACGACAGCAACTTGTCTGTTCCCCTCCCCCCAATTCCCCAGCACTGTTCCCATCCCCCCAATTCCCCAATAAAAAATAAAAAATAAATAAAATAAAAATTAAAAAAAACTACCACAGAATCCAGGCTGGTCATGAAGGCTTTAGTCTCTTTTTTCAATAAGTTTCATTGCCAAATGTTGATTGGCGGCGACGATGAGAGCACCTGGATACCACAAGCCAGAGGAAGACAAGAAATGTGAAAACATTCACATTTGAAACATTTGAACACCACTTTCCATCCAGTTTTCACATTGGCCTAAGTCCAATCAGGAGACTAAGTCCCATGAATCAGCTGGCCAACTTTAGATAAACAAACAGCCTTTTATCTTGATTAACTGATTATTCTACTTTTCCTAAAGCATTTAAAATGAGATGTATTAGCTACTGCAGATTCTGCCTTGGCTGGCCCATAAACAAGTGAGGGCAATTTTGTTATCTAGAATCATTTTAGCCAACATGTTTACTCTTGGGCCTCTACAGCTTCAGCTGTTTTATTTGTTATTTGGACCCCAGTTAGGGATACACATGTTTGGAAACATGTCTTAGTTTGGAAACACCTATTGATGGTTAGAAATTCTTGGTTTACCTGGTGAAATCTTGTGGTAAGTTATCCCATTGAGGTAGTAACAAAATATGAGCTCCTGGGGGAAGGAATTCCCGTCTGAGCCATGGTTTCTCTGTGTGAGAGTAACAGTGCAGCCCACATATGATTCAAAGGCCTGGTCTGAACTCATAATGTGAGGTGTGGATCACAAGGAGACTGTATATTATGAAGAGGCAGAAGGGCTTTACAATGCATCTCTCCAGAATCACAAGCCACCACACGCAGACCAGATGAGAAAGTTCTTCCCCAACACAACATCAGAAAAAGCCAGACATCACAAACACGCACAACACTTAGAATCCCCCAGCATCAATCCAGAGAACGCCCCAACACCATCCACTGGCTATGATCCCTGAACTCCCAGAGCCAACTCCAAAATACAGGGCTAAACTTTGTTTTGGCACCCCTTACCATTTCCAAAGACACAAAAATAACACCCCAATTATTAACACTCCAATTCCTCCAAAACAGACTGTCACAGCAACAATCCACGAGCTAGTTGACTTCTGAGATTCTGCTGAGAGAAAAAAAATGGAAAACGTTAAGAGGAAACCTACTGCAGGGGCCAGAGACCTACACAAATGCTGCTAAGATCTGTGTGGTTGTGTGTCATTTCCCTGTCAGAGATATAACCACTCATCCTCTGCCACACATCTTGGCATCTTCCACTCATACCCCATACACCTCCATACATCCAACAGTGTGTTTAGCACTTGCCAGAAATAAACAGCAACATAGAACACCACATACCACATATACATGCCATGCACATGTTCCAAGCTTCCACACTACCCTACCTTACATCACTGTATATACTGCTACAGATTGAATGTCTGTGTCCTCCCCAGATTCATCTGTTGAAATCCTAATGCTCACTGTGATGGCACTAGGAGGTGGGGCCTTTGGGAGGTCACTCGATTATGAGGGTGGAGCCCTCATAAATGATATTAGTGCTCTTATAAAAGAGGCCCTAGACGGTCCCCTCACCCCTTCCACCATGTGAGGATACAATGAGAAGTCTGTGACCTAGAAGAGAGCTCTCACCCGACCATGCTGGCACCCTGATTTCAGACTTCCAGCCTCCAGAACTGTGAGAAATCAAGTTCTATTGTTTATAAGCCACCCAGTCTGCAGCAATTTGTTACAGCAGCCCAAACGGACTAAGGCATATATACATGCATCACCCAGACACACCTCTTATACCAAATACACACAACGCATGTTTCAATTTCATACTCCCCATGCCCCACACATACCCTGCACACCTCTGTGCACACACCACCCACACACATCTCTGGCCCATACTTCCAAGAACAATTCCTCTCTCCCTCCAGAACCATCCCAGGCCCCATCTGACATACCCAAGCCGCATTCCCCAGGGCCTCTAGTTAGCGCCTGCCTTCCTAACCCCTCAGTGCCAGGCAGACGCATTGGACCAGCAGGGTCATCCCCACCCAGGACCACAGCCATAACCACAGAAGCTTGGCTATAAGCTCAATGAATCCCACCCCACCAGCAGGAGGGGTTGTGTAGTAAGTTGTGTTATCCTAAGCTAAAGATCCAGCGTGCCTGGGAAAAGCCCTAAGCATCTGCCGGGCCCCCTACTATGGCCTCCCTATCGTGGGCACGGAACTACTGATTCAGCCTCTACCAGCCAACCATCTGCAGTGGACCTGGAGCCTGACCAGGAGAGTTGCTGGCAGGGCTGAGTGTTTGGCCCCTGACAGACTTTATTCTCAGGGTACATGGACAGGATCCTATCCCCTTTCTCCTGGCAGCAGGCAAGCTTCCCACTCCAAGGCACACAGACCACCCAGATCACTCAAGCTGCCATAAGCTAACACGGAGCCCTGTTTCCACCTGAGGACTACTGTCACCACTCCACCTCTCAGACCATCTTCCCTGGCTTAGGGACTTAGTGTGGACTGCTGACTCTGGGGCTGAGCTAGGCCAAACGGCTTTCTCTCTTTCCCCACTGACCCCCCCATCTTCCCCCAGGCTGCCTGGGAAGCTGAGTTTTATGTTATACCCCCTCAAGGTGGAGAGTAGGGGAAATGTCTAGGAGGATGCTTACCTATTGCATTCAGAGTCAAGTTGTAACTCTGAGAGGTAGGTAAGGAAATGTGCACTACCACACATTTGAAGACGATCATACTGCCCTGCAGAGGGGACTTCGGCCTCAAATGGCTAGTGATATTAAAGGTGCCATCTTTATTCTTGACAGCTGAATCGGTGCTGATGCCCTCAGAAATCTGCTCATACTGGTGATCCTCCTGGGTCCTTTTATACCACGTTATGTTAATGTCCTTTGGGTAGAACCAACTTGACGTACACAAAAAATGTTTGTCTTCATTATTTTTCACTGTAGCTGGATCCTCATACAAGCTGCTGACTGGGTAAGCTGCCAGGAAAGAGAAGTCATGCTTTGAGGATAGGTCAGTTCAATGTCTGACCCATAGCAAGCCTTCCGGAAAGGTGAGTGAACCAAATGGGATTCTGCTTAGGCTAAAAATTCTGGGTATGTTGGTCCCAGTGCCAGCAGGGTGCTGATATGCCATAACCCCAACTATCACAGCCATTTTGTAAAGCAGTTTCTTACGCCACTTTGTGTCATAAAAGCCTTTGAAACTCTGAGGAAAGCCTTGGAACGTTTTTGCGGTAGAGACCCGCTAATTGCTACCCATTTCCATTCTTCAGTGACACATTCAAAGCTATATCTCCCAACTTCTACTACAGCTGGTGTGGCCATGTGAACTCAGGGTCTAGTAGTTTGGATATAATCAGAAGTGGCGAGGGCAACCTCCAGGAAGTATCTTTAAAGAACAGGGTATCTTTAAGAAAAAACCTGTGCCCTTCGCTCTCTCCCCCCTTCTTCCTTCCTGCAGAATGGTTGGAATACCATGTGATGGCTCGAAATCGGGAAGCCATTTTCAAACACAAGGTGGAAGCCACAGGTGGAGGACGGTGAAGTGACAAGATAAAAGGATCCTGGGTCCCAAATGATCACAGAACTGCCCTACCTGCCCTGGGTTGGCTACATTTTTCTGAAAGAAAAGTAAACTACCTTTTCAAAAGCCACTGTTGGGCCGGCCGAGTGGCGCGATGGTTAAGAACTGGCTTGGGATACCAGAGGGCCCCGGTTCGGATCCCACATATGAGGGCCAGTGACACTGCCCTCCACAGCTAAGATGCTGAACTACAGATCAACCTGGAGCTGGGCTGCTGTGAGTCGCCGGCGATGGTGTAGGCTGCAGCCCCTGTGGTTGTGGGTTGCCACGGGCTACCGTGTATAGCCAGCACCCAGCGTGAGCGGCCAGCAGCCACAGTGAGCGGCCGTCCAGAAGCCAGTGACTGATCTGCCTTGCCAGGGAAGAGCGCAATGATGGTGCCAACTTGGGCCAGTGAAGCAACGTCCTCCACAACTAGATTGAAAAACAAAACGACAGCAACTCATCTGTTCCCCTTCCCCGAATTCCCCAGCGTTGTTCCCATCCCCCCAATTCCCCAATAAAAATCTTAAAAAAAAAAAAAAAGCCACTGTTGACTTCTGGTTTCCCCTCTGACATGTAAAGACCTTGGAAGTTGTCACTCCTGGCCTCATAAGAAAAAAGCTGAAGTGAACAAATTGCAAATCAACAGCTTTTCTTAGATTCATCAGAGAATTGAGGTGACAGAGCAAACTGCCACCCTGAAAACTACAGAGACAGGCAGGTTAAGAGAACCACAGCCAAGATCATATTACCTTAAGCAGAAGGTGCTAGAGCCATAAATTGGTAAAGCACTTAAGCAGTAACTTTGACAAATTGCTAAAGGATGAGGGTGGACTAGCTGGATAGTAAAATCTCCTGGGGGTCAGTCTTAGGGAGTTTTTCACGGGTTTGACTTCCAAGAACCCCACAAGGTTCCCACAGTCACAAGAAAAATACCCTCATGTTTTGGGGAGTGGGGAGAGGAAAAATAACCATTTAAAAATGTACCCAGTTCATTCCCCATAACAAAGGATGCTCTCAGGAGGGGAGTCTTTGCCAGAGTCTTTGATGACCTGGGAGAACAGTGATTAGCCAGCTCCAGCCCCCTCTAGCCTTCCCATCTCACCTGGGAACACTTCTGAAGGTCACAGCCTAGGGGCTCAGACCACTCAAAGAATGAGATTCAATAATAAGATAAGACTGCTTCCCTTCCATATCATTTTACCATATCAACAGGGCTCCAGTATAACAGCAGATTACAAGTAGGAGAACTGGAAGATAAAGACTATTTAAGAAGGAGTTCAGGGGCAGCGGTTAGCTCAGTTGGTTGGAGCACAGAGCTCATAACACCAAGGTTGCCAGTTCGATCCCCACAGGGGCCAATGAGTTGCACCCTCCACAACTAGACTGAAACAACTACTTGACTTGGAACTGATGGGTACTGGGAAAAACACACTGTTCCCCAATAAATTAAAAAAAAAAAAAGTTTAAAAAATAATAATAATAACTATGACTAAAATGTTAAGAGCACTAATGGAAAAAGCAGATAACATGCAAGAACAGATGGATAACGTGAGCAGAGATGGGAACTCTCTAAGAAACAATCAAAAGGAAATGCCAGAAACCAAGAACACTATAAAAGAAATGAAGAATGCCTTTGACAGACTCATCAACAGACTTAACACTGACAAGGGCAGAATCAACTAGCTTAAGTATGTCAATAAAAACTTCCCAAATCAAAATACAAAGAGCAACAAGAATGGGGAAAATACAAGGGAACGGAATATTCAAGAACTGTGGGACAATTGCAAAAAGTATAACATACATATAATGGAAATACCAGAAGAAGAAAAGAAAAAGGAGCAGAAGAAATATTTTGAAAAATAGTGGCTGGGAATTTTCCAAAATTAATGATAGACACCAAAGAACAGATCCAGGAAGATCAGAGAACACCAAGTAGGAAAATACCATATCATGCTCAAAATGCACAAAAACTTTTTCTTTTTTTTTTTTTGTCATAAGACAAAGAGAAATTTTTGAAAACAGAAAGCCAGAAGAAAAAAATAACTTATAGAGGAACAAAGTTAAGAATGACACTAGACTTCTTAAATACAAGCAAGAAGACAGGCCCATGAATATTTAAAGCATTGAAAGAAAGCAACCCACCAATCTAGAATCCTATACCCAGAAAAATTATCCTTCAAAAGTGAAGTATAAATGCTTTCTCAAACAAAAACTGAAGGAATTCGTTGCCAGTAGGCCCGCCTTGCAAGATGTAAGAGAAATTCTTTTGAGAGAAGTAGAATGATACAGGTCAGAAACTAGAATCTATGTAAAGGAAGAGTGTCAGAGAAAGAATAAATGAAGGTAAAATAAAACTTTATTTTTCTTATGCTTAATTGATCTGATACATAATTGTTTGATTCAAAATAATAATAGCAACAATGTATTGGGTGGTATAGCATATGAATAAGTGAAATGAATGACAGTAATGTTATAAGAGGTGGGAGGGGAGAATTGGGAATATTCTGTTGTAAAGTATCTGAACTACCCATGAAGCAGTATAGTTATTTCAAAATAGACTTAAGAGTAGTTGTAAAAGTACACTGCAGACTCTAAAGCAACCACTAAAAAAAATTTTAAAGTATAATTGATATACAAAGAGAGGAGAAAATGGAATCATGAAATGTTCATTTAAAACCAGAGAGGGCATAAAAAGAGAAAAAGTGTACCAAATAGAAAACAGATACAAACATGGTACATATCAATCCACCTATATACTCAGTCATTTTAAATGAATGGTCTATGTACATCAACTAAGAGACAGACACTAGAGACTGTCCAAATAGATTTAAAAAACAAACAAACAAACAAGACTCAAATATGTGTTTTCTACAACAAACCCACTTTTGTTATGAAGACCCAAATAAATTGAAATTAAAGGGCTTGAGAAAGATGTACCATACTAACACTAATCCAAAGAAAGTTAAAGTAACTCTATGAATTTCAAAGTCGTGTTCAAAACAAGGAAAATTATCAGGGAAGTTAGGTAAAAACTAAGGAAATCTGAATAAACAATGCACTTTAATGAATAAGAATGTATCAATATTGGTTCATTAATTATAACAAATATATCATACTAATGCAAGATATTAAGTGGTATGCAGAGGCAAGAGTAATAATGGGAACTCTGTATTATCTTAGCAATTTTTCTATAAATCTAAAACTGTTCTAAAATAGCCTATTAAATCTTTTTTAAAAGATTTTTTATTGGGGAATTGGGGGGATGGGAACAGTGCTGGGGAATTGGGGGAAGGGGAACAGACAAGTTGCTGTCGTTTTGTTCTTCAGTCTAGTTGTGGTGGAGGACGTTGCTTCACTAGCCCAAGTTGGCACCATCATTGCGCTCTTCCCCGGCGAGGCAGATCAGTTGCCGGCTTCTGGACAGCCGCTCACTGCGGCTGCTGGCCGCTCACGCTGGCTGCTGGCTACATATGGTAGCCCATGGCAACCCACTGCCACAGGGGCTGCAGCCTACGCCGTCGCCGGCGACTCACGGCAGCCCAGCTCCAGGTTGAGCTGTTGTTCAGCATCTTAGCTGTGGAGGGCAGTGTCACTGGCCCTCATATGTGGGATCCGAACCGGGGTCCTCTGGCATCCCAAGCCAGTTCTTAACCATTGCGCCACTCGGCCGGCCTATAAAATCTATTAATTTTTTTTAAATCTTTTATTTTAGGCTTTCCGTCAGTTGCAGAGGAAATGAATCCTAACATACGTTGCCATCCCCAAAATTAATATGTACAAAACATTCAAAGTCTTAAGTACAATTTTGGAAGGCTCATAGACACTGCCCCCCTGTTACAGGCTGAATTGTGGACCTCACCCCCAAATTCATGTGTTGAAGTTCTAACCCTAGCTCCTCAGACTGTGACTGTATGTGGCGATAGAATCTTTATTGAGGTTATTAAGTTAAACGAGGTCATTAGGTTGGGACCTAATCTAATACAACTGATGTCTTTATAAGAAGAAGGGATTAGGACAGATACATGCACAGAGGAAGACCACGTAAAGACACAGGGAGAAGACGGACACCTACAGGCCAAGAACAGAGGCCTCAGAAGAAACTAAACCTGCTGACACCTTGACTTCAGACTTCTAAACTCCAGGATTGTGAGAAAATAAACTTCTGTATTTAGACCACCCAGTCAGTGGTATTCTGTTATGAATACCACTAGCAAACTAATACAACCCCCAAGCTCCTCCACGTATTATCAGGCCTGTTTATAATACTCATACAGCAAAGTGGAGTTCAAAGAGGTGTTTAGGGGATATTGTTGTTGTAAGTCTTGACTGAACACCTACCTCACAACAGCCCTCAGCTGGGCCTTTTCATACACTGTCTTATGTAATCCTCAGAATGCTATGAGGCAGGTATGACTTATCACCCCATTTTGTACAGAGGAAAATTTCAGATCCAAAGATGTTAAATGCCTGGCCCAGCCACCCAGTTTGGAAGCAGCAAAGCTGAAACAGGATTCAGGTCTATGGAGCCAGAGCATAGCATCTCTCTCCTTTCCCAGCTTCCTTTCAGAGGCCTCTCTTCATTGAACACTGACTGCCCACACACGAGGTGAATTAAGGCTATCTTTTACTGAGCACTAATAATAGGCCAAACACTACGTATATGCTAAGCATTTCACCTGCATTTTTTGTAGACTCTTCCCTACAGTCAATCCTCTCAGGTAGGTATTATTACATATGTTTTGAGCAAAGGGCATTGAGGTTCAGCGTGATTAATAACTTGCCCAAAGTTGGCCAGATATTCATGGAAGCCCAGGACTCAAGCCCATGTCTGTGTGACTCCTAGGCCCATGCTGTAAACCTCTGCTCCATTTGGTCCATCCACATCTCCACCCCAAACCCCATCACCATGGGCACTGTCATCAGGCACTCACCTATAACCTGTAGCCAGACTGTTCCCTGTGCCTTCTCAGGTGTGACCACCACCTCACATCGGTACTCTCCTGCTTCCCTTAGCTGGACTCCAGGCAGCTGCAGTGAGGCGTCCCCCATCGTCAGGTTCCGTGGAGACACAATGGCTCCTGATCGGAATGCCTTTTGGTCGTGTCCAACAAGCTCTAACACCTTGACCTCTGTATCATTCATTGGACTCTTCCTATACCAGACAACACCCATAGTTCTGATGTTCAGTTGTTGGGATCCAGGGATCCTGCAGATGATGGTGACATTACCATTCAGGAACACTCTTTGAGTCTGCCCATCCATCTTCACTTCCAAAGCTATGGCAATAAGAAAACTCAGTTATGGGAAATCCTTGGAAAAAATACAGTCCTTGTACTCCCAAACACTACCATGTAACTGAAAATAAATTCCTTTGGGGGTGGGGATCTTGTGTACAGAGGTTTTGTGCTCCTCTTGTTAAATTTATTCCTAAGTATTTTATTCTTTTTGATGGTACTGTAAATAGAATTGTTTTCTTAATTTTATTTTCAGATAGCTCATTAGAAGTGTATAGAAATAACATTTCTTCTTTCTTTATTTCCATTTCTTTCCCCCGTCAGGCAACCGATCTAAGATGTTTAATGTCTGCATTTTGTTCTTTAAAACCATCTTGTTTTGTTTCTCAAACTTACAGAAATGGTATTAAGTTAAATAGCATTGTTTCCCTTCTTGGCACTATGCTTTCCAAATGGTTCCACATTGCTATGTGTACAACTAGTCCTTTGCTTGAAGTTGCTGCCCAGTTCTCCATGGTGAGCATCCACATCTGGCTCAACTACAGCCCCACTGATGGACACCCAGAGGGTCTCCTAGATTCCCACATCCCCACCAGCACCACTTGGCATCGCCCAGCCTATTTTGGCCAGTCTAATAAACATTAAGTGATATCTTATTGCTTTAACTTCTATTCTCTGGTTAGTAATGAGTTTAAACATCTCTTCATATGACTTTCAGGCTTTTGGTTTAGTGTTGGAGAACTAGAAACACGTCCATCAGTGTTCCCAGAAAAAGTAAAAAGAGAGTGTTTAAATACCACCACTCAGTCTCAGAAAAGACTTTATAGTAAAAGTCTAGATGCTTCTCTGATACGCAGTGGGGTTTTCTTCTTGCTCCACCCCCCCACCCCCTCCACTTCCTCTCAGTTCCAGAATCTAGGATGATGAAATTTACGCGGGGCACTCAGAGCCCAGAATTTAAGGAGCTACTCAGTCTCAGTTCCTACACGTGCCGATTCGGCACATAGAAGGCGTGAACACATAATGGTTGAATCAATAAATGAATCCGATTTCACAAAGGAGAGCTCAGAGTCTGGGATCTTTAAAGTCAAGCCCCACGTAGCTGAGATCCGCTGGCAGGACACCGGAGAGCGCCTCGACTCCGAGGCTGCCCCTGACAACCCCACCCCCACCCCTCACCCTCGTTCCGCCTGCCTC